CGTTAGAGTACCTGATGAATGAGTGGTGGTATGGAAATGTAGGTTGTTGGCTTCCTTTCATTCCTTGAGACTGGATCCTTTCTTTTCTGAAGGGGGTTTCTTCCTTTTTCGATCTTATTGAAGACTGAAATGGAAGACTTCTAAAAAAGAAAAGTGGTCTTTAAGGAAATTGCTAAATTCTGCCTTCTGGATCTGTAGCTGTCCTTGGTTTAGGATGATCGTGTACTGGAGATCTAAGCCCTTGGTTTAAGCCCTTTTGAGTTTAGTTGCAATGAGTTAGGTAGTAATGTTAGTTTCTATGTGGTAACAAAGGTAAATTTTGCTAACTCTCTTTAATTTTTCATGTTTGCTTATTGCTTACTAGCCTATATGTAGCTTTATGTGGTTGAGTCCCCATCCTTGGAGGTATTTAAAAGACGTGTATGGTTGGACTTGATGATTCTAAAGGTCTTTTCCAACCTAAATGATTCTATGGTTTTATTAATAAGCAGCTAGAATAGTTGGAGTCTTGTACCTAGTTGCAACATAGGCTGACGTGGCAAGTGTTTCAAATAAGCTGAATTGAAAGTAAAATGCTTAGATAACGTTTTAAATTAAGATGCAAATAGAAAGTGGCATTTGTGAAAGTTGGTCATTGTGTATAGGTTGTGAAATTCTAAAAGGTCTGCTCTCAGAATCTGTAAAAATAATGGTGTCTTTTCCTTTTTTTCTTTGAGTGCAGTGTTTAATGGTTGGGTTGGGCTGCAGCAATAGCTACCCACATTTGTTAGAAGAATACTTCTCATAGATTATCATTTAATTATTCTTTCTTAGTGAAGTGCGCTGGAGAGAGGGATCACACGTGATAGATAATGAGGCAGGGAGAAAAGTGAAGATGGAAATTAGTTGAGAGCTGTGGGTTTGGGTTTTTTGGTTTTTTTTCCACTGATGAATTGGTAGATGATAGGCTTATTGCTCTGCTGCCTTTACATGTTGTTAATATAAATATGGTTAAGTTCCCTGACTGGTCCATAACAAGTAATATGCCAGTCAGGAGTGTATCCTAGAAATCGGTGTGCCACAAGCTGCTGTTCTGTGCCTGTTCTGGAAGGGGGTGTTTGAAGGGCAAAGGAGACTCCATGGAGATCTCATTTCTGGGCCAGGTGTACAAGTGTACGCGTGTGAAATGGGGTCATTCTGGCGAGTAAGAGTGGTTACCAACAGGCCTCAAACTTACGCATAAAAACTCATACGGTGATGGAGATCTGTGAAGCAGGAGCATCATACGAGACCCAGTAACATCTGTGAAATACGGTGCTGTTGCTTCAACTCTGGATTTCCTGTAGGTGTTACTGAAATGTTTTGCGGGAGGGAGCATTTAAAGACACTTCTGCACATCTTGTAGTTACTGAGCTTTGCAAGGCAACACTGAGTAATTCTTCAAGACTGCTGAAATTTATTAAAAAACAAAAAAGGGTTGGAACAGATGGGTATGTAGAAACATGCAAGTAAAACTGGGATCCTGTACTTGGTACTTCAAAACCAGAGTATGCTAATAGGAAATAATGGGCTTCCATGTGGAGCCTTGTAGATCTCTAGGAGCATACATGGAAATAATTGGATGCTTGCAAATCACTGTGGCATATTAATGGACAGCTACTTTGAATCGGTAGGAGCTGGTCCCATGTGATGCCAGTTTCACAATGAGAGCAAACTGGTATCTAGCAAACTCCTTTCTGGAATCTTTGTGACAACTGTTCTAAGACCCCAGGTGCTTCCTGCTGTATTGATAATGAATTCTTGTTTTATAAGGAATTACACGGAAAGGTTTGCTCAGCAAATGCAAAAATTGTAGCAAAACATGCCTTTGACTGCTTAGATGCATCTACAGTGCTGTGTATCATTAGGTTTACATTGAAGTCATTGGGATATTTATGTTTCTTTGTTTGGAAATGGTAAGAGACAGGAATTGCACTTGTACTGAGCTGACGGTAAGGGCAGAGGAACTAGATAATGACTTGTGTGCTATATTTGTGTGTTAAGTACTGCAAATCTTGCCTTATTATGTATCTCTGCATGCATCGGGAAAATGAATTACAGAAACACTGAAAAAGTCTCTACTAAAAAGCAGGGAAGAAAAAGGAAAATGAAGCAGCCTTTGGAACTCCCATAATTTTTAAAAGACAAAAAATGGAATGTGTGATAGCTGTTCTTCCTGGTATGCTCTGTCATTTCAAGATGAAGCTGAGGCTGATGGTGATGTCCATAGCCCAAGGGTCACTGATTGCACTCCCAGAACTTAGGTAGTGTAATAGGTAGTACGTTATCACAGAGGGAACTTAGTACTATCTTATCTATATGTAGTCTTGTACCTGATGGTTTACTGTACCTGCTAAAGACCTTGAATCGTTTCTTTCATGTATTTGTAAAACATCATTTATTTCAACCTTCATCTTAGAATTGTTAGTGGGCTTATTTAAAGCAGTACTTTCCCCAAAAAAAGCACTTCAGCTGCTTTGTTGATTTCTTATACTTCTCATACAAACCAGTGCGTTTTTTTCTTTTTCTGTCCCCAAATTCAGAATCCTCTTTCTGAAACAGTCTTTCCATTTTCAAGCCCTAGTTAAAACAAATAATGCTGTAGTGGTGCTTAAAAGATGGCCAAATATTTTTATTTCAGTCTTCTAGTATTAAACTTCTGCATGAGACAACAGTTTTAAGAAAAACCTTCAGTAAGAGGAGGCTAACTAATTAAACCACTTAGTATTGGAAAACAGAAGAGGAAAGGATGATTACTTTGTACCACGGTGTTTTCTAGGATAATGTTGTGTTTCCAATATTGGTGGAAGAAAGGCTTGCTCCTTGCACCCAGGATAAGACTGCCCACACACTCCAAGAACATCTTCATATGTTTTGAGACAGGAAAACGGAGAAGACTGAGGGTTGAAAGTAGGGGTGACGGAAAGAAATGCTTGACATTTCAAAGAGTATAAGGCTATTTGTGTTAGAGTTTTATGTGGAGGAGAGTTCAGTCTTGAAGCAAATCACCTCATTGTCCCTGTTTATCATGCCCATTTGTTTGTTTTCCAGAGTGGTTTCAGGATGTGCTAACTAGTCTTCTTTCAAAAGAAACTTAAGCCATACCGCTCCTTTCATGAACTCTTAGAGGCTGAACCAGCTATCAGTCATTTTTGGTAGCTTGACCATCCTGTGGCAGGGTCTGCTTCAGGAAGTTTGGGTAAATGTGGCCTGAAAAAAAAACCCCACAAAATCCAACCTCCTGGACTTCATATACTATAGGTATAAAAACTTCAGCAGTTCTGCTCCAGTTGTGCCAAATCGCTAATGCAGATATAGTCTAATGCTGGTTTTATTTTTTTTTTTTTTAAAGTAAAGACTGATGATGACTAATTGTCAGGGTGTCTTAACCTTGTCAAGTGTTTGGAGATGGTAATGTCTTTAAGTCTACCTTTGTGACAGTTTGTATTTTGGGTGGAACTTGGCAGACCTTTAGATAAGCGCTGTATATGTTAGGTATGTTAAGTATATGTATATGTTAAGTGAGATAACAAAAGGTCCATTCTGAATGTTCTTGCCTATGGTTTTGATTTGACTGGTTTTCAGGGGCATGGGAAGGGGAGAGAGCAGAAGATACATGTTTGGAATGTAATGGTGCTGTAGGAACCCACAGCTGATGCAGAGATCTGAAAAGCCAGCGCAAATATTGGGAATCATATTATAAAGTAACAAAGAGCCCTAACCAAGTTACTGAGTCTTCTTCATTCAGTAAATATCCACTGTGGTAG